GTAACCTCGTCGAGAGGAGCAACGTCTGCGAGGGGGGCAATGAGGTCAGTTATTTATTTCCGGCAATAGACGAAATTACCAGTATGTGACTCTTTTCATTTCTGCGACCCCTTGCCACTGGTGTGCGATGTAATCACAAACGTCGAAGTTTTATATTTAATTTTTTTCGATTATCCGTTTATTTTGTTTTGTTTTTCTTCCGTCGATCTTAGGAAAATATGCATTGAAACAAATGAAATGCATTGAATCAATCCATTTGCATATGAATGGCACGGTTTATAATCAAAGTAATACAACAAAATTGCTATGAACAATAATGTAATGTCTATTGTATTGATTTTACCATCTAACAGCAGAATGCCATGACGTCAAATATCATAAGATCTGCCATTTTCGACCAGGATCAATTTTCTGTAGTGACATTAAGTGTTCTGAAGTAAGACTATCCTGAGATACATTCAAAAAGAGAAGATCATATCGAAAGACTGGATGATTTAGGTTTTGAACGATTTTCCCGTATCGGTCGAAACTACAACGTCCTGTCATCAGTTACAGCTTGATATCTTTTGATAACGCAACACACAAGCAAGGCCTTTCAAATTGTCTACAGGTCACGAAGTTCAGATTTGCCTAGAAAGTGATTGCCATCAACAGATGGAAGCCGGTCATGGGTCAGCAAGAAAAAATGTTTCTTTGTCTTTACCATATTGAAATGGTTGTTTTACCCTAACCCTCCTTTTGGGTTTGCCTATTTCAATGTATTTCACTGTACTTTTTTTCAAAGCTTCAGCATTACCTTTTCTGCAGTAATCACCATGCTCAGATGCATCCAAATCATCCTGGGAAAATTGTGCAGTATTGCAATACGATCTTTTCTTTTGAAATAAGTTTTATTGATTTGAACTGACTATCCTTCGGACTTCACTTTCACGCACAATCCTCAGTTCATCCATTGAACCATAAACACGGATGCACCAGACTCGCGTTTCGCTCTGATTAGAGCTCATCATATCCACCGTCTCGTCCGGGATTTCAACTCCGGAGTCATCGCATGGAAGGCGTGTAGCAACCAGCTCATACCATGGCTGAACCAAATTGTCAATCTAGCCTTGTAGGTTCGTTGGCGAATCAGCCCGTAGCCTGACTTGGTGGGAGCCTTTCGATTGGAGTTAACAGATTGTAGTCTTTGTCTTCCTCCATTGCTATCGTGTCAAATGGACTGACTGACTATCACTGAGGATCACACCTGAACCAACATGAATGGGCAATTTGGTTCAACCATGGTATGAACTGGTTGACACGGTGGTAACACACGGCTTCCATGCGATGAGGTCGGAGTTCAAATCCTGGACGGGATGATTGGTATGCACTACCGATGAGCTCTAATAAGAGGAAAACTCAAGTCCAGTGCTTCCGAGTGTATGATTGAATCGATGAATTGAGGATTGTGCGTGAAGTTCGAAGGATAGTCAAATCAATAAATATCAATTATCTCACATTACTACTCACAAGTAACCGTGAGTCAAATGGGAAATAAGTTTTCTAAAATATGAAATAACAGCTCTTAGCGCTCCTTCCTTCAGAGCGGTGTATACGGTAACTAAAAGCGGTGTCTGGGGGAACCGAAACTGGAGGTGGATGAAACTTTTGGGGTTAAGAATGAATAAGTGTCGCAGTTGACCATGTCGCTCAGTGTCTCAAACCATGAATCTTGTAAAATCGGTTCAATTCAGTCATCACAGGACAACTTGTGACTTCTGCCGATCGCGCATGCAGCTTGTTGTGTTCTCGATGAACTTTTTGAGCTTTCAAAATTGCATAACAAAACGGTTTTCATTCGCATACCTTTCATAAAGCTCTATTTCCAGTCCTAGATGTATTCAGAGCCTATAGGTAAACCAAGGTATACTATTTGTAGCTTGAGAGTTATGGTTCCAACATACATGAAGTTGACAAGTTGAGAATGCTCCTAATTCGTAGGTTTCTCTCCATTGTACACCAAGATTTTTTAAATATGCAGCTACCAGTACTGTTTATAGCTGCATCTGATACTATATAACATCACAGTATCACCCTTCTAGTGAATTTGTGAAGTTTTAATAGCTAGTGGTTTCTTCAAAGCATTTGGCCAAGCAGCCCCTGTTCTCTTTCTGAAATGAAAGAAAACAGATTCTTCTCTTATGAAACTTTAGTGGTCTTAAGGTTTTCATTTGGTTTGCTTACCTTATCCTAAGGGTTAGGAAGAGAAGATGCACATTGTTGAGCGTTATGTTGTAGCTACTTCCCACTGTCCTGGCACAGTTTTCTAACTAAAGGTAGCCTCCTTCCTGCGGTATGGTGTCAATATCTACAAACAGTATTGTGGATGTGTGGATAATGGATTTGTACAAGTGATGAGAACTTCAGGCTTCCGGTGCGTCAAAATGACATCGGGCCTGAAGAGTTTTCCCCTGCTTTTATGACTGCCTTCTGACGTTCGAGGGTAAGCTTGAAGTTCTGGCTTATTTTCTCTTGATCCCCTTTCAGTTTCTGCCTGATCTTCCGGTTCGGATCACTCTTGCATGACATTAGTTGTCACTTTGACCAATTGAGATGCTATGTCCTGATACAGTGTACATCTGCCCACTCCCAGATCATGCTGCAGATTGTATTCGTTTGTCTTGAATTCAACAGTGAACAACAAACAGGGGTTTTGGATATTCCGTACTAAAGAACTGAAGATCAAATGGAACACTGTGACACCAAAAACCTGAGGTGTGATTGTTTCTGTATCAGAAAGCGGTTATGAAAAAGTTAATGTTCAAGTTCCGTTACTTAAGGAACCCTATTGTCTATCTACCCGATTGACCGACTCCATCCAGAGCCTCTACATTTTAGTAGAAGAAGTAGATCATAACGGTTAAACACTTTGGGGGAGTTTAATCGACCCGAATCCAGTTCACGAGTTACCTCGCGTAGTAACAACAAACGGTTTGTTGAATATGACCTTACTCGACAAACCCGTTGTGACATGGTGCCAAACGCTGATTGCTAATCAGGCACCGGGATATCCGTTTTCTAACTACAAGTTATAGGCACTTGATCACGGCCGGTGCTAAGCTTACTGATCTTTAATTACCTACATCGAACAATGCACGCATGAATCTATCGCTACTGCTAAAATTTTACGCCGATCCGCTGAAACTACACCCGATCTTGGTAATTTCTGACGCCTCCAAATACAACTCATCCTAATCTACGGGTGAAACTCTACCTCATTTTGAACTGGTATCTGTGATCCTCTCTTTAATCAAAGCTGTCCGGGAAGAAGGTCGCATACCAAATACTCGTTCTTCATCAAACGTGCAATGCAGTTAATTAAGTTTGCAAAAGATCACACACATATATTGTTGCTCGATTACATATCTTGGTTCATTCTCTAATCCAGTGCTGGTTACGGTTTTCCAAACAGATGGATTCAGTACTTGAAAGACACGGTTTCCGAAACGCAGCTGCTAACTTTACCTATCGTAAATTGGGAAGTACCAAATTGTCCTCAGACACATTTGCTTTACCTACATTTAAACCACTGGGGGTTCCTAGTAAGATAAGTTAACTAAACTAAGTGTAAATTTCAAATAGAACAAATACTGGCGAAAGGGCTCGGTTTAAGTGATTCGTATTCTTGTTAGTACATCGCAATGAACAGTGTGTTGTTTATATACGTATCAGCATTCCATTATTAAAAACCCAAAAAATAATTTTTGGGAAATGGAAAATAAACATAATGGGTTTTCTGGGGCTAATGGGCTTGATCCCCACCTTAAGTTCTATTTGAAATGAGCTCTGTAGGAAGGCTTTGAGAAGTTTATAATTGTTGTCCAGAATCGGACATGCGGAGAAATATAATTTTCCAACATGTAAAACTGGTGGTTCAGTCACCCCAATTAAGTTCAAAGACCACAAGTATGAGCTTCAAGATGGAGAATTATCCTGACAAGAACTACTCCTTGCATGATCAATGTACAAAATGCAATGTACAATCAAATCAAATTTGATTGTAAAAACATGCCTTGAGAAGGGTTACCCACGGTAACCGAAACGTCGGCGAATATAATTCTATACCGTCATCGCTGTGTTATTAACACTATAACATTCACAATAAAGAATTGTGTCAGTTCATTGGAATCAGCTACGTACTGCTAACTTGCACCATTGTAAAAACGGAATATCTTCCCCCAAACTGACTACTGACCAGCACTGATCGGCATTGAAGTAATTCAAATGAGGATCTTACAAGATCGCAAAGGTTTCCGAAGAACGACTCCAAACTGTGCTCCGACAATCCACAAACAGAAATGGCAAATACGATCCTACTTTTAATTCAAGAAAATTATAATAATGATATTAAAAATCAATGCAGAACGGAATAAGTGACAAACGACCTTCAGATAACCGCGAAGATTTTAAAACGAAGAAAGTAGCTGATCCAATGAGCAAATTTTGGACTTCCTTGCAGGAAAATGTGAAAAAACCGCAGATGTGTGTTATTATCTGTTTTGTCTTGTTCAGAACAAATTATTGATCTAAGTGAACTACGGATTTGTTATTTGAGAGTCGCCAAAAATCGATCACGTGTACTAATTCGTATACTCAACTGAGATTCACAATTTTTTTAATGTCTGTCTGCAGACGATGGGGAACTTACCGATCGGTGAATTTCAGTCGTACAAGCCCGGTATTCATAAATCCAATAGAAGAGCAATGAAGGTGAGTTTTTGTACATACGCATACAGAAGAGCCTGCGGTTTGTCACTCATCTTTACCCCTGAACAATCCAGCCCGATAATCAGTAAATTCATGTATGACACATTGGTGTTTCTCACCAGCGGGGATACATGGGATACTTTTTTGAATCAAGCATATGAACATAAAATAAATGATCAGAATAACTTATTTGGGAAACTCAAATTAGTACACCCTAGAGAAATCAGAATAAGTTGAAGCGGGAGTTTTTACCGGGAGAAATTAAAGCTAAAAGGCTAAACAGTCAATCGATGATGAAACCAGTTTCTGATTGAAACATTATTCTACACGCTAACCTGTGAATTATTAGCCAAAAGAAACAGCTTAATACACAGACTTCATACTTTTAGAGTTTCGGCCACTGTTCACCCATGGCACAAATATACGTATCCGTGTGAATAAGCATAGTGTCAACTCGACAGCAGTGAAAATTGGACAGGAAATTTGCGTAGAAATGTGGGAACTAAAATGTGGAGATGAACAGGAACAAAAACAGTCATGTTTTCGTTTTTTTCACCGTTTATCTGTTCTTCGTCTATACTCTCACGTTTTATTCAGGTTTGTTCCATAGTCACAACCCTTCCCTTTAATGCTCTTGATTCGCTTAACTGTTAATGTTTTTGTTCCATACTCACTGACTGAAAATTGTTTATTTGATCAACCGTCATTATGTGACTGTCTAGTTTTTGCATGCTTCTCAGTCATTTAACGTACATAAGCAGCTGACTGCGAGCACACGAAATTTATGGTCCATATCAATCCAAATCATGTGGTTTCTTGTTTCATTAGCATGTTTTAATTCAGTCCATAATGATTACTGATATGAGATTCATAAGCACGCCAGCAAGCGCATCACAAACATACAAACAGGACGGGTCATAGTATGTGGTACATACCGATTAACGGGTAATCAATGAGCAGGATCCAGATAGTCGGATACAAACATAAACCCTGAGGTTTTCGAAGTTGGGCGAACTTAATTGAAAATATTGTGTTGTGTTATAGTACATCATCACTACAGATGGAGTATCTGTCTATTTTTCTAAGCCTAATGGTAACGACTGGCAGACAAACTTTGTATCCATAAACTATATCATATGGGAGAGTGGGCAAAGCACAATTAAAACTGCAAAATTATAAACCAACAACTAATTCTGTATTTAGTTGTTCCTTCCTCAAGTTAAACTTATTTCATCTTACCTACATCAACAAACAATCCGTCTCTCCTCATCCCTAATAATCCTTTTGTACAGTTTATACCAACAACTGATAAGGTATCAGCACAACAGGCCCATCTCGTTGGAATGATGCGTACGGTGATGCGAACGAATGACGTGAAAAAACGAGCGGTTGCTCAGAGAAGATTAAATCGCGCCCTACAGGTGAGTAAGAGACAACTAGCTTCGCCAGTCTAGGAGGATGCCGACGTTTGGTGTTGTTCTTATTATTGATAGGGAACTCGCTTGCAAGTAAATCAAATGCCTGTTGCGATTTCGTGCTTTCAAATTAGAATGCAAGCAGTGAACTGTGTAGCAGTTTTGCCCATACATAGCAGAACATAATGTGCTAAATTTGTAGAGATGAACCACGTATCGAAGTACAAGACGTTATTCACATACATCGTCAAGGGACTGAAGCTGTTCAAAACGCAATCGGGAAGATAACAGGGCGTAACCACAAAGATTGAGATACCAGGATCTCGTAAAATTACTTAAATAGCTTACCGAAAATGAACCGGTCTATTGGAAAATATGTGCACGAATGTGATATGAAGGAACAATCAGACGAATGAGCGAACAATGGAAAACCTCGTAATCATTGTCTGTTTAGAAGAGCGACCCCGCAGAATCGCTTCTGTCTGGTTGTCATTACTCATCAAGATATTCTGTCTGGTCTCGGGAGACACAGGACAGAGCATTTACTCATTACAGTGCCCTGGCGTATGCTGCCAACCGGAGCAGACAAAGCTGAATGCCTCTGGCGAAACCTGTTTTCTACACAAAGCCGGTTGATAATTTTAAGAAGAATAATTTTTACCTCTATTTTCTTTCAGTTAACCATATTATGAATTATTATCGTGTCATAAATCTTTAAACGGCTTGCTGCCGTTGAATTGTCACTTTTCTAGGTGTACGGGTCAAGTACATTAGTTTGTTCGATCAGACTTCATGAAAGCACGTTTTCCTAAATCATCATTAGTGAATTGATTAAGCTCTCATGCTACAGATGTACGAAATTTCATCCAAAATTCATCAGTTTAAAAAGAATCTGTTCATAATCCTAATTTCTTCACTCGCAGGTAACCGATAAGGGTTTGTATTTTTAACAAATCACCATGGTTTTACTGCTAACCTAGTATGGTTGTTTTAATGAGAACAATCATTTGATTTCACAGCATTTTGAATTCACTCACCGTAACACTCGTAGACAGTTTCGATTGAGGACTAAATGCATTACATCACTTAATTGTCGGAACTATTTACATTGGTTTTTATGACTCCTCCAAAGAAATTAATGTGGTGTGTTTCACCACTCCCAATCTAACATGGCTTTTCGTCAAAAGGGATTCCCTGAATGGGTGATTTTTAAAAGCAAACGAAAAGAGATCCGTTTTTAGAACTTACTTTACAAGTAAAGCTCCAAAATTTTATAGTGATCAGACTCATTCAAATCTGGAATTAACATTTTCTAAAACCATCACCAGTACACCACACTTTCTTCCGTTAAACACTGATACGCCACACTATTTGTAAACCAACCTGTGTGTGCGTTTTATCTTTTGTAGCTAGCACATTTGGTCACTGATACGTTTGATGACATTGTTACCACAATAACCGAGACTGTGACTCCAGAGAATGATCCACGGACAAATGATCAACAACTGGACTGTTACAAAGAAATTTTTGACGCCTTTCAAGTTAAATGTTTTACTATCCAACAAGTAAGACAGAAAATATTATATAATTGTCTTGTTTGTTTGAGTACATATGCATATTAAATACATTCATATACATAAACATTCATATATGCATATTTATACGTCTGTGTAACAATGCATTATCGATGGCCTTCAGTAGCAATTTAAATCCACCGACGGTGGACTGAACCCAGGACTAGTTATGTAGACCGAAAACACACCATCCACTTGACACTTCTTAAGTGGCAAAGGATCATGTTTTGTTCATGTCCAGGCTAATTGTGTTCACTACTGAAAGAAAAAAAGCACTAACTGTGTCACCTAATCCCGTGTATAAAATTACTCGTTCCTGTGGAACAAATTACGTAGGTGTTTATTCTCAGAGATCCGTAATCATCACCCTGAGTGGTCGATTACTGGAACAATCAAGTTAGTCGTCTGTCAAGCGCTTTTGCACGTAGCTGAAAGGAATCGGACTGCGAACTTGATCAAGCCTCTTTGCTCTTTGCATATGATCCGCAGTTGATTACCTAAGCAGGTCAGCCGTTGTATTATAGCACAGCAAAAGGAGTAAGAATTCTTTTGCACAACCCTCATCTGTGATGTCCCCATAACCCACTTCTCGAGTAATATAAATGCTTGGATGAACGAACATGCAAATTTGTGTTCAAATAACTTCATGCGGTAAAAAAATGATAATGATGTAACTCGCGATTTCAACATAACTTCACGTGACGCAGTCACAATATGGGTGATACATCGTCCGACCAGAGTGAATTTAATGAAAAGAATTTGTCGGATTATATGTTGATCTTTGGATTTTTCTCACTGGTCCTAGTAAATGAAGTCCCCTGTAAACATCATCATCAATACGTTAGCAACGATTAACCAAAACTGAAGAACTTGATAAGGAAAGTTTATTGTTCAAAATTCATCTGTGTGTACATTCTTTACTTCAACACGTTAATCCCTAAACCTAGCAAAATCTTCTTAGAGCTCTTCCGGCGTTGTGCATTGTGCAAACCAGGTTTTACATTTTAATCCCTCACCTGAATGGTGTGTGTGTGTGAACTATCACCATCCCAACGATGCCACTCAAACTTTTTATTTCCAGCAGCAATAATTCTTCATAATCTGAGCTACATAGTCGTACCAATTCAAGACATGCTGAAGTGTTGAGTAGTACAAATATCAACCGTAAATATCTCTTAAAACTGCGTGATCAAAATACAAATCTTGACTCTCAAGTATATACATTCAGAGCCGTTCTTCCAAAATGTTATGTCTTACCAAGACGTATGATCGATATGAGCGGCTCTTGGAGAGAGAGAACGCGGCTGAGAAAACTACACTCAGTGTATGTTCTTGATCATGAAGCAATACG